AGTTTCGGTCAGTTGTAACACGTCTACAGGTTATCAACTGGCCAATTTTGAAGTACAGCGTTCATTGGTTTAAGAAATTTACAAAAATCCAGTAAAGTTGTTTTTTGTCAAAAATATTATTTAAGGCTACTTTTTCAAGTTATTTGCTTTGGCAAATATCAATAACAAACTGATGCGCATGTTTCATTATGCAAAATTTGCGGATAAATTTAACATCAATTTAAAAAAAAAACAAAAAAAGAGGTGTCCATTTTAAAAAAAAAATGTAATTTGAGATTATTCGGCAATAAACTTTTGAAAAACTGTGGTCTCAATTACATAAGAAAATAGCAATTTACCTCTGATGTGATGTAGTCAGCACATGTTCCGATGCACCATGCAACCAGTGGTTTTGTTAGGCGTTTCTCTTTTAGAGCCTCAACAACTTTATACTCCTCGTCGCCTCCCAGCTCGCCAAGCATTACCATCATTTTCACTCTTCAAGTACAAAAAAAAAGGAAATCATAGAGTCAGTTAAAGCTAGTACTTATTTCTGGGTGATTCAATGCAACTCATACCGTAGTGAATGAATTTTTTATTTTTTTTTTATACAATACCTGCTTAAAAGCAAGCTGATGATGGTTCCCTGTTAAGAGTTGGGGGGAAAAAATGAGCAAACCGGGTAGGGAGAGGGTTGTCCAATTCGCAAAAACAAACCCCCGACCTCTCGCCCTCCTAGCCCTCCCCCCCTCCCCGCCGTGTTGGAGTGGTGCTACTCAACACTACAACAGATGTTTCCTGCACTTAAAAATTTCATAATCTTTATGAATTACATTTCCATGCCCTCAAAAAAACACTCGGATCGCTGGTAGGCAGACCAGAAGAGTGATACAGCATTGGTCAAAGCAACTGGAAAAGTTGGAAGCTCGAGAGCTATACTTTTATAGTTCGAGAGCCATATTACTTTAAGCAGAACTGCTTCCCACAAGAATTCTTGTAGAAAAAAAGCATCAAAAAAAGAACCTGTCATCTTTTTCATATTGAAGGAGGTGATCAATAAAGGTACTTCCTGGGTATCTATCACCTCCAATCGCAATTCCTTGATAGACACCATCCGAATTTTGCGCAATAATATTATTCAGCTCATTTGACATGCCACCAGAACGTGATACATATGCAACACTGAACAAGTAGATCACGCAAACAGGAGTGAATATCGGTAAAATCAGTAGCTCAAAGATCAAGTACCAGCATGAAAAATGCCTC